GAGAAAATAAGAGAAATATCGAGAAAGAAGGAGAGAATATGACGTGCAAGAGCGAGAACGAGTACTGATAGAGCGTAACTGACTTCTTGGCCGGTGCATATTACCGGGCTGTTAGAGGGCGGAGTCGGCTGATGAGTTAGCAACGTATTGACTTTATAATAATCACGTTAGCCGGTCCACCATGATCCCCCATGCTATTACCCGCGGTTTCGCGCGATTTCACGTACCGGGTGATCGCCCTTCGCGGATACAATTAGCCTTGTTTTTTTCTGATATTTGTAAGTTACTGTTGATCAACAGAAAAATATCTTATCTTTGATAAAATTATTCTAATCGAAATGATATTCATTCAAATACGTTTTACATAAGTTAAATCAATTATTTATATATGCAATATTATGATAATTATTTTCCATGAAAATATGACAATTGAAGTTATTTCCTTGATTTTACTCGTAAAGAAACTTATTCGAAATTTTTGATTTCATATCGTTAATATCGAAAGTTAATAGAAAATTTCTCTCGTAAGATCAATCGTTCGTTCATTTGAGAAAAAAAGCGAACTCTTATAAAGATAATATTTCTCAACGTTAATCAGTAGTTCAATTTACTTTTAATGGGCAATTAGTAGTTTTGAAATAAAATTGTAAGAGAAAGAAAATAAAGATCCTTGAGATGTTTTTAGATAGAACAGGATCCGCCTAGGTAGGTATTCTCTTCTACACCTTTCTCCAAACCTTATTGACAAAAAAAGTCATCTTACATAGGTATCGACAAAAAGGAATAATTCGGATTCGAAAATTCGTAGATTTTATAAGTCTATTGAAAATAAAGGAAAAGTTTATTGAGATAAATCGATAGCGTTAAAAAAGATTCTATAAGATATCGATTCATTCGATTTAATTTTGGGAGATTATTATCTTTTGGAATATATATATCCAAATGAAATATACAAGTGAATTTTGCAACGACCAGTAGAATGGGCAGCGCACGCTGCGGTAACGGTCGGTAGAATCCTGACCTCCAATCTCACCTCAATTTGCCTACACGCCGCCATTTGCGTCAGCGAGACCGGGGTACGGCCTATCTAAAATTATGATCTCAAAAATCGTTCTCGCGTGTGTGCAAGCTCTCGCGTCTCTACTCGGTGTAATCCATTAATTATAGAAAATCGCGCGATATTATAAATTTCATACGTAATGGGTAGGTACACTTTGCGGTGAGTCGCTACGTATCTTTTTTCTTTTCTTTTCTTTTCTCTCTCTCTCTCTCTTTCTAACCCCCCGCCCCACCCGTCGTTTTGTTTTTCTTTTCGTTAGGCACGTACACGCTCGATCGATAATTTAGTCGAATAATTAATTACGATCATACTGAACGATAAATTAATCAAATTCATCAAATTCAAGTTCGTTATCTGTTTCGGTATTATCGAGTTATTTTCTCATGGATAATTTTTACGTTATTGTCGAGAGAATTACTTAGTCGTCTCATTGGAACAGCTCCCCATTAATACGGATCTAACTGATTCTAATATTGTCTCACACTTTTCTGAATAAAAACGAGAAAAAAGAATGTTCATCTTTGTGTTATTTAACTCGGTTATGCGGGCATATATTTAAGCATTATGTCAAATTCATTAAGATTTTATACCGAGGCGTGAAACTGTGTCGTCTCTTATTTGTTAAGTGATTCATTGCTCGAAATGGTGCGATTTATTTGAAGGATCCGCGTTCGTAAGAGCACCTGTCCCGATGACAAATGAAGATCCTAACGGCATCATTCAGGAACGAGATATTCCAAGGTACGACTTTAATATAGCCTAATCGACTGTTCGATTAGTAGATATCTTTATACATCTTCTCGATCTTTACTAATCCTTTACATTTGCGTAAGTTTTACAAACCTTTGCGTGTAATTACCAAAACTGGTTTTCATTTGCTTAATTGTCAAATTAATGTTTTTCATTCGTGAACTCGAAGCAATTATCGCATCAATCATATTATTCTTTAGTATTTCAAATGAATTCATTAGAATTTAAACCAAATTCGATAAGTTCAATTAAGTGTGTAGTAACGATAACGAGAATTTTCATTTATTCAAGATTCTTTTTAAAAAGAATTTCGGAAGGGCATAGATTTGATCTTTTTTTTTCGGTAAAAGAGAAAAAGGATCGATTTGAAACAATTAGATAGAAGGTTGCGAATTGGCAAGAGAACAAGAAAGTCGAGTTAAATCAAGATTTCAATTGCAAGAACGGGTAAGAGATTCTCGTCGGAGATAAGTGATCTCTGTCTGTTTATCGTTCGTTATATTTGGAATAATATTTTGTGAATCGTAAATAATATACGAATTTCTTATTATAAGAGAATTTCATGCAGTCATTTTGACATTATATAACGGTAAGAGGAAAGCCATTTTTTTTTGTAAAATTCGCAATGTAACCTTTAAGGAATACTATTTCTTTTTTTTCTCAAATCGAAATCGTGTCTGTATATCGCGAGCAATCTTGAACATCGAACGAGGTAGTACGCCCTGATCGATTTAGCGCCAAATGTCGCCATGTTTTACACACGGCAATAATGGTCGAAATCTATGTAGCCAATATTTCAAGTCACCCTTTCTCGCCATCCCTCGAACGACATATGAAACTTCTATGTAGTAGTTCAAACACGTAGACTTGGTTATTGGTTCGCATACGGACGATATTCCATAATTCAATTGTACGATAAAATGGAAATATAAATAATACTATGAAGACTAAAATTCTCTTATAACTTGTTAACGAGTAAATATAGTAACAATCTTGGAAACAAAATTCTTAATATTAATAAATAGGTATCGTAGGGAATTTGGGCATTCAAAAGAAATAGAACTTCGTTTTGATAATTTGGACGATTCGTCCCTTTATTGGGACATCTTCAGCAACTTAATCTCTAAAGTTCAGCGTCTTTTTTATTTGAGCAGACATACATTTTTGTAATATTCAAAACACTACACATCTAAACTTCGTTATATTTGAACACATATTCTTAATACTATTGCGAAATGTTAAGAAACATTAAAACCCGATATGATATAAATTATTTCATTAATTACAATATGATGATTAATCGTATGATTTTTGTTGTTACAATATTCGTATTATTATGATTGTTCATTCCAGGGTTGGAGACATCCAATGCAGAAAAGAACAGAGCCGATTTCGCAACACATGTCTCGGTAAAAGCGTCAACGATTCGATAATATTTTAGGGCGTCGTCCACCCTTCCCCTTTTTCTTCAAAAACTGCTGGTGCATGTGTCGGCGGTGGCACAAGAAGAAACATAATGTTATCAAGCTGTCCAGGAGAAGCTACCGTTGTTGAGCAAGGAGGAGATTCCTCGTGGGACTTGGTCCTTGCTTTCGACCACTTCGTTCTTATTGATATACCGAATAAACACGTTTGCCAGTTAGATCGGAGCAACTTTGCGAGGCAAATAATACAGTGCTGAGACTTTATACATATACATATACATACAAGTATACGAGTTAGCTGAAAACTAATGCGAAATTCGACTGCGTTTTGAATTCATGCACATAGATAATATTCTCTTAAACGATATTTCGGAAGGCAAATCGATGTTTAAAATCGCCAATAGGAATCTCATTGAGTCTCTCGTTTCACCCTCATGGCTTTTAAGTTTCGACCCTTATCGACCATCCGAGCGAGACTTTAGCGATCGGTCAGAAATGGTCGGGCAGTAAATAAAGATGGGTAGTTTTTCCCATCAACGTGGCCGAACGTTGAACGTACGAACAAGAGGGAAAGATCTTATATATATATATATGTGTGTGTATATACTAACGTCCGTACTTCTTCTATCTACAAGACGATTTTAGATTCCGCGAGTCAAAGCGATGTTTGACATGGAAATGTTGAGAACTATGCATTAAACATGCCACGCGGAGTGCTCGGAAAGTTTCGATTGGTTAAAAGGAATGGGGATTTTACTCTCATACCATTTCTCGTATCTTCGTATCGTTTCGGCAGACACATACACACATTGTTCTCGTCTCTCGAACAAGTAATATTTATTTAAGCAAATGAAAGGATCCGTTGCAAAGCTATTGCTTTTTCTTTTCGTCCTTGGTTTTCCCTCTAACGTTGACACACACACGCGACACGATACGACGAAGTACATACACGGATATAAAAAAAAAAAAAACTAGGAAGAATCGGTGATTGGCAAGAGGCAAGGAAAAATACCAAGTACTGGAACGGAATGGAACGGAAGTGGGCACCCGCGGAGGGCCAATTTCATCGGTCTACGCCATAAAAGGAACTCCCTCCATTGTCCGGCAAATGACATCAAGCTTATTGCATTATTTAAAGAGTCTTACTCGAGAAGACCGTTTTAAGTTGCCGACCCTCGATCGTCGACTGTGTGCCTGCTTGCTTGCTTGCTTGCTTGCTTGCTTGCCTTGCCTGAGTCGGCTGATGTCCTCAGAAAGCGGCAGAAAATCTCAGAGGGACGGAAACCGAGATTACATTTCGTACGTAATGTTCTTTTCGAAAGACCGCTCAATCGAGAGGAGAGACCATAACGGGTTTAAGATGGTATCTTTAAATCATCATAAGGTATGCCCTTACAATTATCTATTTTGTATTAATAAAATAAATAGAGTAAATATTTCATTCGCGTATTATTATACAAAGTTAGATTTTTGTTGAGGTTATATTTCTTTTGGCGCGCGTTTTGGAAAGTGAAGTTAGATGCGATCGGAAAATCTACACCACGAAGTTGTCGAGATATAATAGTTACGATGCGCGGGAAAATTGAAATTATTTTTGTTTACTTTGGTTTTACATGACTGAAGAAACGCGTTTATCTTTTGTAAACGATAAACATAAAGTATATTAAATGTAAGAGTTTATTTATTATACAAATATTTATATATTTTTCTACTGATAATTTAACTTGCACACAAATAATTATTACAATAGAAAGAAAGATATTTACCAGGTGAGATGGCAAGTTTGGTGTGAAGACTGGTCGGACTTCTGTGATCAGGAGTTGTCACAGGAGCAGCTATGGGCGGTGACAGGTGAGGGTGTATCTGTGCTCCACCACCTGTCGTCGTCGTCGTCGTTGTCGTCGTAGTTGTTGCACAAGCATTCAAAGGAGAAATTCTCTTGAAGGATTGTTCTGTTCTCGACGCGATCTCGTTATCGCCCAGCCAAATTTTACCTAAAAATGCGAAGGAAAGTTAAGGACAATTTTAATTATTATGTTATTTCGAATATTGAAATTATTAATAAATATGTTTAGCAGGGAAATTGGACATTAAAAAGAACTAGAACTTAATTTTGATTAATTCAATTCAATAAATAAAAGTTCTGATTAATTAAATTCAATAAATTAATCAAAACTAAGTTCTAGTTCTTTTTAATGTCCAATTTCTCTACGATACTTATTTATTAATAATTTTATTTTTTTGGACGAGAGAAATAAATAATTGAATTGAAATTATTTCTAAATTAATCGCGTGATATTAATTGGAATGCCTAAAACAAATTTCGAAATAATCCATATTCCATGAAAAAGTCCAACGAGTTAAGAATACGGCATTTAATGGGTGGATGGGTGGGGTAGGGGGGCGAGGGGAAACGTATACTAACGTATCTCCGGCAATATCGTTGGAGAGATCAAATTGCAAAAGAGGTTCTCAAGATAAACTATGTACCGTACGTTGGTATTAAATATAACTCACACGTTTCTTACTTGTGTGTGATTGTGTGCGTATAAAATGGCTTCTCTCCCTCCAATGGGTTCGCGTAATTAGCGACCCTCTGCATCCCCTATTCCTCGCTAGTTTTCCTAGCTTTCCCTCGTTTCCCTTAATTTCTGGGAACAATGCCCGTGCCTGGATGTTGTTCCAGGCTGCAGTGTCTAATTACACGAAGGGTAACGCGCTCTTTCTTTTATTTTTCTGGAATCTGAGGGGGGGGGACGAGACGATATAATACTATACAATACGTACCAAACAAATATCCTGAATTTCCCAATTTGTAGAATAAATAGTGACAACGGAAAAAGAGTCAATGTTAAATCTTAAACTCGTATCAAATATTATGTCGAATGATTTTCATGTTAAATATAGCCAACAAACTGGATTAATAATAGAAAAAGAAAAATTTAATAAAATATAGAAAGGAAACTTTTAGCACATTCTGTACGAGATTTATTAGACTTATTGGAACATGTAAATACTATATCTCCCTTGCATGCGTGAGATGTGAGTCAGACTCTGTATTAGAGTTCCTTGATGAATGATTTAGTCAGCATGAGAGACTTAGTGTTCTTATTCTCTATCGTATCTTTCTTCTCACACCCTCTTATTCTCCCTCTGAGTTTCTTCGTCTATCCACTTCTTAACGAGGGCGGAAGAGAACAAAATAGGCAACGGCAAGTGGTGGTAGATGGATTGAAAGCGGAAGGGTAAGGGGGGAGGAAACAAGAGAATAAGAAAATCGAAGGGCTAGGAAGAGAGGCAAAGTAAAAGGGAAATAAAGAGAGAGGGTATTGACCATAGTCCGAGATGGTGGTGGTGACGGTGATGGTGGTGGTGGTAGAAGCGTGCTCGTGCGTTCGAGTCGATGGTAAAAGAAGTCTTTGTGCAAAGAAAAGAGAAAAACGGGGATGGAGGGAGGTATATGAAGAAGAGAAATAGAAAAAAGAATGATAGTGGGGTTGAAGAAAGTGTAGCTGGCGCTAACTAAGGGCGTCGGCTAATCAATATCATCAGATAATGGCCGCTGACCTCCGTTTATCCGGCTGGACCTTCCATTGTCCTATACTTTGATATTACGAACGACTCGCGTAGTATCTATCGGTCAGATAATTATTTTCGAAACAATAACTTTTTCAACTTTGAATAATTTAATAATAAGGTAGAGAGAGAGAGAGAGAGAGAAAAAAGGGATAAGAATTAGCAGGTAAGAAATGTTGAGGGTGGTTTGTTCGCGATAAGAATAGATTGAATAAACGAGGAAAATACTCGAGCGTATTTTTTGAACGTCAAACTTATTCGTTTAGACGTCTTTTTCGAATTTCCAATGGAATATTAAAACTGGTCTTGGTTCCGGGCTCGAGGAGGGTCGAAAACTCGCGGTATGTCTCGGGGCTACGATCACAAGCAAACTCCCTGACGTGGAACTACTGTGGTACCTTTAATCTCCGGGTATGTTTGCATGTTCCTATTCTCCTCTCCCTTTTTTTTCTTTCTTTTTTTTCTTTCTTTTTTTTCCCTCAAACATTTCATCGAACATAACGACGTGCGCGAGTGTGCATCTATTTGCATGCTGTAAAAGAAAAAAAAGAAAAGAAACTGTGAAAATGAGTTTACGTAGATACGATTAATAGAAGAAGAAACGTAAATGGGAAAAACGTGGAAAGGGTGGTATTACTGTCAGGAACGTAGGTGGACATTGGCCAGGACGAATAAGTAATGTAGAGGTCTATTATGCTGAAACGGTGAAGGGTCTGAAGTCGTGGGTCAGCCAATCCCCCGGAGGGCCGTTAAAGTGAAATACTTCTGAATGCGAGGTGGCTGCCATTCCCTCTTTTTTTTTTTTCTTTTTTTTTTCTCTTTTGCCCTTTCGTCTATAGCTGGGCAAAGAGAAGGTCCTGATCGTGTAGGTAAATCGTTGTTATCTGGACAGTGATAAACCCTTGAATAGAGTTCGCGCCAGTTTCAACGAATGAAAGACGACGACGAGGGGTTGCATCCGAAGGGAGTGTGGGGAAGGGGAAGCTCGAGAAAGAGGGAAATGTTCGAATTGATGGGTCTGTTTATGCGAACTGCTTGCTGGTATCGTATACCTATTGACCAATCGGGTATAGGGTAACGAACAACAACCAAGCCTTTGGAACTTTGTTTCTACGGGAAGATGAGCTCGAATCTTCTCTTTGCGGTTTTTCCTTCTTTTTCTTCTTCTTCATCGAGGATGCGGCATCTAAGATGCGGTATCCTTGATGGATACACGAAGCAAACTTCTCTCATTCCTTCACTTATTTATTTATTTCTTTATTTCTTTTCGATACGCATCATTGAATTGTTTCCAGAGTCTTTGCGGCTAAAAATATTTCGATCGATCATTGACGACTATAACCTAATCGATGAACGATCGAAGTTAAGTGAATAACTTTTCATATATATTTCTTTTCTTTCCCCCCCCCCTCCTCCCCCATTGATATATTTATATATGTGTTCATGATTTTATTTTGTCTTATTTCTTAATAACATTGAGAGAATATTATCGAAGTTTTAAAAGCATCATCGAAGGATTGACTCGAGAAGCAATCTGTTTTTGCTTTTCTCCGTACGGTCCTCGAAAGAATTGAAAATTCCTCCTCGTCCAAGGGTTGAAGAGGTCTTCGGGGGAGTGCGCTAGACCGAACGAAGAGGAAAAAAGCGAACGTGGATGTGGATAAAGCAGCGTTCGATATAAGATTAATAGTAGAACTTGGCGAACGACTACTAGGTACCCCGACAAGGGCGGGCGGCTATGGGGTGATGGTGATTCCTCTTTGAAGCTGGAACCGTAAGCAGTGGCCAAATTGAATCCTGTTTAGGACAGGAAAGGAACCGAAGGACGGACCGAGCCCTTTTTCTACAATAAATTCATTCTTTTCTACCTTTTCGATTTAAAACGCGACTCTTTAGCGAAATACATTAGTAGAGGATTGTTAGAATAAAATATTTATTATTAAGTTGGGGGGTAAGTATGAAATGTGTCGGATTTTATAAGTGAATATATATCAAATTTTGTATATTTTTTTATAGTTTTTCAAAGCAACGATGCACTTTTCGATCGTTAACAGTATTCTCCCCAAACGTCTGATTTATATTGCGTGCAAATTTTGCAGCATTATTACCAAATTTATCCTCATATATAAAAATGACACGAATATCGATTGAATTCATAACCTCATAAAATTAAAATATTGAACACTTTTGAGAAAATCTGTTTTGTTGAAATGTGACTAAGGCAATGGACAATACGATCATAAACAAAATTATGCAAGAAACAAAAAAATAACGAAAACAGAGGGAAAAAAACGTTCACATGTAAAGAAAATTCGACATTTCATACGCACCAATCTAATAATATCATTTTAATGATTTTCCGTTGAAATCTTTTTCAAATAAAACAAACAATAAGATTAAAATGACAAAAGTTCTTCGTATTATTTATCTAACCGTCGATAACGTCCCAATTTGGTTATCGTATTTTATTATCAAAGTGACCCAATGTATTAAATTTCCGAGATTAATTTGGGCACCACGTGTCGACAGGTGTGAGATTCCAATCGACGTACGGGTTTTTCGTAGAGAAAAACTGTCGTTGATAAGAAAATCTCTACTTATATCTCGCGCACGCTTCTCCTCGTTGCACGTGTACTCAATATACATATGTAAGTAGATACTCGATGGAGAGCAGGTGTGAACGACCTTTAATCAGCAAACTCTCGTTTTCTTTTACGTTATCGCGCGAGAAAAGTTCCACAGATATAATAAACCTAATCGTGCCTAAGTTTCTCTCGATTCTATTTTACTATATGCCATTTTTCGTCATTTCAATATTACTCCTTAGAATTCATATGATAATTCTTATCTGATATCAATTCGAATAATATTTTCCAACTATCACTTTAATATCAATTAAAAAAACGTACGGCCGTGATCTAATAACGGAAAATTTATAACCGTAATAAATAACTCTTTTATCTGTTAGAAAAAAGAAAGATCGATATCTTTGTAAAAATAAAAAACATATATATATATATATATACAATTATCGTATATATTATTTGTGCAATAAGATAATGTTAGTAATATTATACTTGTTTAGTGTTCATTTAAGAAACTTTGAAAAAATATATATTATATAAATAAATATCGTAGGGAAATTGGACATTAAAAAGAACTAGAACTTAGTTTTGATAGTCCCTTTATTGGGACTTTTTAAGCAACTTAATCTTTAAATTTCAGCGTCTTTTTCATTTGAGCGCAGACATACATTTTTGTAATATTTGAAAAACTATATTATATATTAACTATATTATATATTAGCCAATATCCAAAGTTTTGTTTCCGAAATAAAAAAGACATGTACAATATAACTCGCTATATATCGTAGATATTCTATATAAAGTGGATAGACCGAATTCCATCTGATCTAAAC